AAATGTCTATTTAAATGCTGAGCTGCTCCGCCGATTGGCGGACTATTTTTTGTCCGATGAATCACAGTTGACTTTTGTTGGCATGTGACGTTCTTGGCAAATGTGGAATAGGTTATTTCTGTTGCAGTGTTCATTGCTGTTACTTCTTTCGCTTAGCTTCTGCGTTGAGGCAGAGGACATCTGAAACGGTAAAATACGTTAAATCTGCTGACGACGTTGGTTAAATTTCAGCCATCTGCTATCATTGAGAATTTTGCAGAAATTTCAAGATTCGATACGGTGACATAAGAATGGTCTCATCAATTGGTCACGCGAAAAGTGTCAAACTAGGATTCTCTCATCGTAATACTGGCGTTGAGAAACTTGTCTCTTTGATGAACGCTGCAGCATGACCACTCTTTTAAGTACGTTGAGCTAGTTACCGATGAATGCCTCGGTTTATTGATCATGTTGTTCAATGTACATAAAGTATGAAGAGTTTCCTACTTTCTAATCAAGTTTCGTATGCTGGCGAAACTTAATAAGAATCAGTACTTCACTTTGTCTACTGGTATTTTTTTGCGTTATTTAGTTTATGTTAGGTCTATGATGTGTGAAGGACTACGCTATAAACGCTACATTGTCTTCCGGCTATCATTTCATCTGGATCAGGAATATCAGAGAACAATAGATTTGCAGGCGAAGTCATCAAACCGGCATGGTATTTTCGTCAGTCGCTCTTAGACAGCCCCAGTAACTTCTTGAATTTAAAGAATATGTTCGTTTTCAATAAGATGGTGCAAGAAACAGCGAGACAACACTGCTGGTTAGAATCTAACTATAGGACCCATCGTTCCCATGCCATTTCTGGGAAGAATCCTGCGAGAACCAGCAGGGCAGAAAGCTGTGATTTTCAGAAGATTATGCGATAGAAACTATAAACGTTGACTGATGTGCAATATATTCGAAAGCTTAACTTTATGTATTAAAAAACATTTGCGGTTACCAATAGCAGCGAATTTTTTTGTGATGATGGCGAGCGTTGTATAAACTAATAAAGTGTTAATCTGATTTCCATGATATGGTTATTGATTTCCCCTGCGTACGGTGCGGTCTAGTCATCCATTCGGCAATCTGATGAATAGTTATTGCTTGTCATAATCATCTTTAGCATTCTTGCAGTCCTGCAGATTGCTTAAGACTTGTGATATTCGCTCATCTCCATCTATTGCAATTTGATATTACGAGCTGTTAATTGCGTCCACGCAAGGAGCATTACTCATCGACAACAGATTTCCGTTTAGCTTCCTCTGCCATATGCTATTCTCATCTCCCATCTTCTTCCGTGCATTTTAGAGTTCTACCACGCAAGCAGCTGACGAGTCAGTGAGACTTCATCGCTTCGTTGCAAACGGTCGAACCATGGGAGCCGTCTGTCTCAGCACTTTTGATGCGAGACAATAGTATTGAGTATTGCGTGCTTCCCAAGTAAATGGAATGTCATTAATCGACAAGAAGTGCATTCGACTCAGATCAGGGACCTCTGCCTTTGAAGACCACCACATTGTCCATCCATTCCTTATATCGGCTTATCCGGGACCCATGAGTCTAGCTTCTAAAGTCTCCACGACTTCAAGTTGAAAGTATCATGCCGTCCGAACGACATACCATGTTCTCTTTGCATTCAGGGATCGGTAGTTCCAGCATTCTATTAGGAACTGTTTTTTCGTGATGTTTACCACTGAGATGACGGATGTCTTGGTGACAGACTGTTTTTTGCACTACCGATGTTGACCTTTCATCGCACGATTGATCGATCAGGGACGATGTTGGAGATATCGCTAGATATAAATATAGGTACGGAATTAAGCAATACTATAACGAATAATGAAAACCATTGCAGGAGTAACATGCTGGAAGAAGTGTAGAGAGCATGTTCATGCATCTAAAATATTAAAATTAATGTATACCCACGAATTCGAAAGAAAATGGCAAATAACATATTTGATAAGTCTTCTCATGCATTTAATCAGACCTGTTTAAGGGAAGGACACATCACGACGTTATTTCTATTTTAATGATTTTAAGATGCAACTGCTGGATATAACGTGGTCATACTTCCTGCTCAGTGCCAGCGACCTGGCTAAGCTACTCTAACGAGGACAACCTTCCTTAAATACGTTGTACTATTTAAGAAAACGCTTTTGACAAAGGAACAACAGGCTATTCAATGATTCGACTTGAACACGTGATCTATTTATAGTTCTGTAAATTTAAGCAAACTTTCTATGTTCCTTATCCTTGGATGAGCTGCTACGTTTCTGTTGTGCCACGCCTCCGTTACTTTGTTAGAGTTCTAATAATGAATGCATGAATTCTCCAAAACTTTACTTTAGAATAAAGTTGGTAGCCTTTTTGCAGCAAGAGTTGAATGAAACGAATGGTCTGTTTTTCTCATGTACTTATTTGTAATTTAGGTCTATTTTCGACGCGAATTGATCTGCTGGGACGATAGCGTTAAGCTGAGATACGGGCAGACGCCAGAGGATTGCCCTTTTCTGTGGAAGTACATGACGGATTATACGGAATTGACCGCTAAGACCTTTTACGGTTTTCGGCTGGACAACTGCCACAGCACACCGTTACACGTCGCTGAAGTACACTTGATGTCAAACGTTAAGCGTAAAATTGCAAAAGTTGTTACTGTTATTATTTTAGTACTTGCTTGAGAAAGCCAGATATATCAAGCCGGATTTGTACGTATATGCTGAGCTGTTCACCCGCGATGAGAATTTGGACAACCTGTTCATTAATCGGCTGGGAATAACGTCAATCGTTCGAGGTAGAAGATGCCATTTCGTCGTCCATTCTGTACGCAACAACTATTGGTTTTAGAAGCCCAAAATGCTGGCGATTCCCACGAGGAAGGAAGACTGGTGTTTCGCTACGGTGGTATTCCGGTTTCTTCTTTTTTCCAGCGACCAATCCGACCATTGATGTCTCGAGTCTCCCACGCAATGTTCTTCGACGTCACGCACGATAATTGTTGTCCGATACAAGTATTGTATTTTATTGAATGGTTTGGACTTAGACATCAGATAAGGGCTCTAGGCCCGAACCATATATGACACGTTTCCTTCAGCGGCGCTGGTGGCCATGGCAGGCTGTGCGATAGGCAGCAATCGGGGTTTCGACGAACTGGTCCCATATCAGGTAGGCAAACATCAACGTGCCTTGAACTGATGCTAACGTAGATGGTGTCGCATATTTCAATGATAGATCGACGTCGTTCGCGAAAAGCGACTCTACTGCAGTTGGACGGACTGTGAGAAGCCAGAAGCCGGCCAAGTGAACTTCTCCTCAGGAATGATGATCGGTCGTCGCGCTATCAATGATCTGCATTACTTTCTTGGTACAGCCGGTTTCGATGAAGTTTACGTGGACCAGATTACCGAGGACGTTGTGGCAGTTACCAGGCACAATCCGATCATGCATCAGAGCGTCATTTTGGTTTCTCGTACTTGTTTCAGTCCAGACAAGATCAACCGTGCCACGTATGTTCCTCCATTGCATATTCCAGGTATAAACTGTGAACTATTGCTATCAACGTTATTTATCTTTTGCATTCATCTTCCAATCTCTTAATATCATAGGTGATCTTGAGCAAATCATCTTCGAAGGTGGGCTGGTGTACGACAAAAGCAGTGGTCATGATTATGGAAGACCGAAAGGGTCCAAGAAAATTCTGAATAGCCCCTTTATACTCGGAGTTGACAGCTACTCGTTTTTGTTGAAGGAAAATATACAGTATCGGTGCTTTTTCTATAAAGTGAAAGTAAAGCAGTATGATTTTTAGTGTTTGTCAGTCGGAAATGGTAAACGCTGAGCCTTCGTCGATGTCGTTTATGACAGACGTGGAATTTGTCGAATTTCCTCCTGGATCTGCGATCGCTCTGAGGTCAGCATCCAGAAACTGAT